CTAAACCAAAGATTTCAAAAGGCAACTCAAGAAAACAAAGAAAAATATCCTAAAGAAAAGTGCTGAGCCATGGAAATTAGAAAACCAGAAAGGAGAACAAACTGGGCATTTTTCAAGCTGAAACAATGGAAGAACAAAAACAAGACTCAAGGTGCAGTACTGAAGGATTCTATGGGGAAAATCTTGAATGATGCAGAAAGCATGGTGGAAGGTGGAAGGAATACAGCGTCATTGAACTGAAAAGAATTGGTCAACACTGAAATATTTCAGGAAGTAGCACATTATCAAGAATCAATGGCAATGAAGGAAGAAATTCAAGATGCACTGAAGGCAGCAACAAAAAACATTGAGACCGAGAGGCGCCTGGGAGTTCGTCAGGCAATAGCGGCGCCCAGCTTGCGGGGACGCTTTGCTCGCTTAGGGAACCCGAAAAAGCCTGTCCGCAAGCCCAACAAGCCCCTCATTCTAGCCAACCGTGTCGGGGAGCGGCGCCGAGAGAAGGGAGAGGCGACCTGTAATCCAGAAATGTCAATTATGATGGCTTGCTGGGAACAGAATGAATTCCGCGACGAAGCGTGCAGAAAAGAGATTCCGGACTTCTTCGAGTGTGTTTCAAGAGCCGAGGCAGCCCGCAAAATGACATCTACACAGGACACCCTGGGAGAGTCTGGGAGTTTATCTCCCAAAAAACTGAATAAATTATTAAGAAGTTTTCCTAACAAACCTTATGTCAGTTGAAAATGAAGACATATTTTTAGTTATTGGATTATAATTCCTGAGAACTACGTGGAGATGTATTTGTATGCCCTCAGTGAAGGGCAGTACTAACCAAATGGGTGTGTTTTTTTTTGCACCCTCTGGAATCATGGTCTTGTGGTGCTTGCTTGGAAATAAAATCATGGTCTAGTGGTGGCTATGTGGAAATAAAATCATAGTCTAGTGGTGGCTACGTGAAAATAAAATCATTTGAAGAGAAAAACAAAACAAAAGAAAAGAAAAGAAAAGAAAAAAACATTGAGACCGCAGGAGTTGAAGGAATACCAATTGACATGTTTCAACAAACATGCAGCTCTGGATAACCGTTAGTCTATGCCAAGAAATTTGGAAGACAGCTAGCTGGCCAACTGACTGGAAGACATTAATATTTATTCTCTTTCCAAAAAAAACCCAGTGATTCAATAGAGTATGAAAATTATTGAACAACATAATTAATATCACATGCAAGTAAAATTCTGGTGAGATTATTCAAACCTGTTTATCTGGAATAGGGCATGAACAAGGGACTTTCAGAAACTCAAGCTGAATTCAGAAGACTATATCATCAGACTAATGTCAGATGGATCTTGGCTGAAACCAGAGAATACCAGAAAGCTGTTTCTTGTGTTTTATTGATTTTGCAAAAGCATTTGATTGGGTGGATCATAACAATTATAGCCAGCACTGAGAAGAGTTGGAATCCAGGATGCTTAATTGTGCTCATGCAAGACCTATCTATACATAGACCATGAAGCAGTCATTCAAATAGAAGAAGGTAACACTGCGTGGTTTTAAAATTAGGAAAATGTGCATCAAGATATCCTTTCTTTATACCTACTCCATCTGTCTGCTGAGCAAATAATTTGAGAAGCTGAACTATACAAGGAAGAATGTGGAATCGGGATTGAATGAAGGTTCAACAATCTGCTTTATGCAGATGACCACATCTTGTTTGCAGAAAGTAGACTTGAAGCACTTAATGATGAATATCAAAGATTACATACAGCCTTCAATATGGGTTATATCTTAACACTGAGAAAACAAAAATCCTCACTATTGGACCAATAGGTGGCAGATGGAGAAAAGATTGAAGATTGATACCAGTAGTCAAGAAATCAAAGAATTGTTTGCATTGGGGAAAAATCTGCTTTCAAGGACCTCTTCAAAGTACTAAAGAGTAAAAATGTCAGCTTAAAGACTCTTTAGTGATGTATATCATAATATTTTCAATTGTTTCCTACCCATCTGAAAATTAGACAATGAATAAGGAAGACTGAAGC